AATCTATATATCTATATCAAATTCTTCATTATTACTATTTATTTGTGATAAATTTTAAAATAATTATAAAGTTTCTTCAGTAGTAAACATTGTGGGTGTGTCTTGGATTAGCGTAGTCATGGCGACATTTTTTTTTTACATTGTAAAAAAAAAAAGTAAAAATAATTGTGTAAATAAAGCCAAAAGCTTCTAATTTCTATGTAAACAAAGGATGAAGAACTCTTTTATAAAGTAAAAATAGTTCCACTGTTGTTAGTTAAAAAGTTTAATTTTAAAATGGAACAAAACAAAGGTAGGCTATGAACGTCTTTGGAATAGACGTTCTGTGCGTTTAGGAGCAGTCAGACTGTCTATGGGATAGACGCTCCGCACTCAATGAGTTAATATCCAGAATCGATCAGCCAGATACAGATGATCATGGCATTGATTTAACATCAGTCTTAGAAGTTGAAGTAGGAGATACATAGCATAGTAATAGTGATAATAAATCAATGACTTGTCTTAATAGCTGGAAAAAGAGTCCTATTAGAGTTGAAGTAACAGAAATTGACAGGACTTGTAGATAGGCCTACTAATCATAACTAATGCTTTTAAATTATGATTTTTTTATGTTTCTGGGAAATACAAATGTGTGTGGTTATGGAAAACTTTTACAGAAAAAAGTTAAGCTTGACGATTCCAACCCTACACTTCTTTGAGGTTAGATTTTTTTACAATGCATAGGAATATATTACAACGAATCTATTTTATTGCCCTGTAAATATGCAGATTTTATACATACTTTCAGTTTTTTCATGTCTAAATAAAAGAGGTATACAAATTCAAACATAAAAAAGGCATCAACTAAGACTTAAGCATGAGCGATACAGGGGATTTACTCTACTCCAGTGATGCTCAACCTTATTCGGACGGCGGGCCATTTTAATTTCCTACACTTGTGTCGTGGCCACGTCAACAAAAAAGGTTTTTTAAAAAGGAAATAGACAATGAACTATTTTTATTAGAACCTGTGAACCTAGTACTTACATTAGTTCTAGCTTCATGGGAAGCTTATTTTAAACCAACTTTTAAATTTCCGGCTGCGTGAGATGTGCACTGAATCTAGAATCCTAGATGTTCGTCCTTGAGATGAATTACATAGCATGAGTTTGAAAAGATTCATCACTGAAAATGTTTGTCCTCACAATTAATTATTGTGATCATCGTTAACGCTTCTTTTCGGAGATTTAGAAAAGTTCCTTCATGTTTAAACACAGATTGCAAATCAATTGTCTTCATCACTTAAAATTTGTTAAGCTGGGATGTCTAGCTTTGTAAGTTGCAGCTCCGTCTGGACACTTGGCACATTGGCCTCGGATGGATTTTTGAAACCATGTACTTTGTTCGATCTGAACACGATCATCACATAGTCCTGATTGAACAGCTTGCCACATAGATTTTGTTGGTGAATAATTCAATGAAGCCACAGAGACTTGGTACCATTTGACTCGACAATATTTCTAATAACTCTTGCTGTCAACCATACTTGTGGCACCATCATAGTCACTCCCAGTAATTTCTCCCAAGCAAGAGAAATATCCTCTGTAATGGTTGAAATTTCTTAGACATGACTTCGCTAGTGGAGATCTATTGCAGGCTCTTCATAACTACCAACTTATCTGATTTCAAAACTGCTATATGTACCAAAAACAATTACCTAGATTTTGAGCAGCATCAGATGTTTGTAGACTCGTCAGCGGCAATAGAAAACATTTCGAAATCTGATTTGTCTGTTAGTTTTGAATGGAGATTTTTACCCAAATCTTTCACTAACTTTTTAATTATCATGAGAAAGGCTGACGGCTTCAACAGTATTCTTCTTTTCAGGACTGATTTCTCCTATCATTGCTAGCAAGCACTATTTTAATGCATTTCCCGTCGGAAAATAGCTTTATTTTACAATGTGTACAGCTCTGTAGCTAGCCTTACAGCTGACTTATTTTATTGTTTGTTTTTGGTAAACATTGTCATCAGTCCTTCAGTCTATGTGTAATATAATAGTTGCGTCTCAAACCAAGAATTTCGCCTTATTTATTTATGTGTTTGGTTTAAAAAGAGCCACTCTTTCTTTATATGAAAAATATGATGGCTTAGTGTCACTACCAATCCATTTACCTTAATGTAAGGAAAGATTTATTTTTTTTTGTGAACAGAGGGTTTTCTACACTTTGTGACGCCGGCTGCGGGCTGTATATAGGGCATCACTGCTCTACTCTATTAGCATCCTTCCATTTGCATATAAGTCACTGTTTGCTATGATTTTCAGTCTTTTGTATAATATGTAAATAATTATTTTGGGGCATACAAGTTTTAATAATCAGTTTTTGAAGAAGCTAGATCCATAAAGGTACAACACCTAGAGTCAATACATTTTAATATTAAAATGTATTGAATCTAGATGTTGTACTTTTTGAGATCTCAGAATGAGATGCAATTTATATGTAGTTGTTGTTTTATTTCGACGAAGCCTTAGGCTTAATTCTGATATTTTTTGGGGGGAAAGTGAGTTTAGAGTAATCTGGGTAGATTTAGGCAGGTCATGTAATCCTTGATGCAGACTTTTTACCTTTTCCTTAGTCCAGGGGTGGGCAACCTTTTTCTGCAGAGGGCCGCATTAAAAATAAATATAAAAATATATATATTTGCACTCCCAATTGAGGAATTATAACGAGTTAGCAATTTCTAGAACTAATTTTACGAATGATTTTTTTTTTTTGCTAATATCTGTTTCAATCACAACATTTTACCACAAACTTGTAGTTGTACTTAATGTTAAGTATATAACTGTTTACTCTTGTGAATAATGTTCCGTAACCATGGAACTAGCTTTCTAGTTGTTATCATTGTGACTGCTGTCAAATTACAGTCAATAAGTGATATTTTGGCACATCAATAAGCATCAACCTGTTCTAACACTTGATAATTCTCAAGCAAAAAAAAAAGCATGTTGGCAGATGAATGTGGTTCCAAATAATGTGAAAGTTTAGCAGCTAATTTTTTTTCAAGTGCGGATGTACAGCTTCTGGCACCCATGAACTTCGAGAAAGAACTGACTAGAACTTCTCTTTCAGGTCATAATTTGCCAGGAGCTATGTCTTCTGGAGCTGAATCAGCTTCTGTATAAATGGTGAGCTAAGGGTATTGAAATCTGGTTCAAGTTGCTGACATCTTAAAATTTGCTTTCCAATTCCACAATCAAGGAATACTAATAAGTCTTGTACATTTCAACCATTTCACTAGAAATAGTTTCACCTTTCAGATAAGGAAAATGATAAAGCCTAATTTCACTTACTGGCTTCAAGAAATTGAATAGCTTTGTTTGGAAAGAATTAAGATGCACATACATGTCATGTGCAAACAACAAATTGCAATCAATGTCCTTCAAGGAACTTAACCATTTCCATGTGATTCCATATTCTTCTAATGCTAGGCCAGCTGATACTACTGTGTTTTCGAACATCGGAATGTTTTGTTTCCAAATCTTTAAGTACTTTTCAGAACTTCCAGTCAGGGCCTGCCTTGGATAATTGGAGGCCCTAGGGTCGGCGAAGTAAATTTGGTGGCCCCAAATAAAATAGAAAAATATAAATTAACTGCGAAAAAAACTAAAATTATGCAGCTTATTAAAAACCTAGTGTACTTCAACAATAACATTGAGGATAAGTTTCGCTATTTCTTCTAAAAAATAATACATGTAGGAATCTCTGGGGGGCTCTCAACAATCGTAGGCCTTACATAGATGCATAGTTTACATATGTCTAAAGCCGACCCTACTCTTTTTATTGAGATTATGTCTTGTGGGTTGTACGCATCAATGGTATTCAAAATAGATTTGTGTTAACTTTTCTGTAATGAGTTTATGGTAAGGGTATTGCTCTTTATTTTATTACAAACTCTGTTTTTCTCAGTTAAAGCATGGTCTGCATCAGTTGTTACCCTTGCCATCTTGTACAAGCCAACCCAACACTTTCAAGACAGTTCTTCATTGCATTGAAAAAATACTGGCCTGGGCTTGTGTCTTTGACTGAATTTTTCAAAATGGGCCATTTAAAATAGTCTTCGTTTACTTTGAACTTTTTAGAATGACGTTTAGGAACAATGTTTCTTTAGCTTCTTCATTATAAGTAATAAGAATCAAAAGTTTCTATAATTTCTATAGATATTTAGAATTATTTATTTTTAATATATTTGTATATGTGTAATGTGATTTCTTTAGGTGTTCACGGGCCACATGAAACACTTCGGCGGGCCGAATGTGGTCCACAGAGTGTAATTTGCCCACCCTGCCTTAGTCTATTGGACAGTTGGGGCACCATGCAAAACAACTACTGACTTTTTTTTCGGGGACCTTGTTTGTAAAGTGCAGTTTTAAGCTATGTATGTTAGGCAGTGCTGTTAAATCAGAAACTGTTGAAGCTTATTTTCTAAATTTATAACTATTGTACTCTAGGGCTACTATTAGTTTTCTCAATTTATAACTATTGTACTCTAGGGCTACTATTAAATGCTACTTGTCATCAGTCATGTATATTTTTTGTCTTTCAATGAACTATTTGTTTCTTTCAACAGGACTTAGTGAAGCGGCATTTAATGTATGCAGTACGAGAAGAAGTGGAAATATTGAAACAACAGATAGGTGAAATGATGGAGCGCATCGGACAGCTTGAACATGAAAACAGTGTTCTTAAGGCAGAGGCTAAGCCTGAAACATTAAACAAACTTCTCCAACCCCGTGCACCAACTGCAGCCCCTCTCACTGCTCCAGTCAGTGTTATGTCAACTCAGTCCCAACAACAGACAAATACCATGCAAAGTGCTGCCCCTCAATCACAGACCCAGGTTCAAATTCAAACACCTGCTTCAGCACCAGCTGTGGTGGCTCAGCAACAATCTGCACAACAAGCACAGTTACCCCAGTCTCAAGCTAGTCAACCTTCACTGCAAGCTCCTCACCCACCAACATGAAACAGTTTGGATTAACATACATACACAAAGAAGATAGTTAAATCAGCTTATTGTTGCTAATGAAATTCATTGCTTTAATACTCTGCTGTTGCCTCTTACTGGCCATGTTCAAGTAACTCTCGCCTGGCCAGCTGACCCCATTTGGCACAAGATCAGGATGTTTCTTATTGAAATATTTTTATTTCTTTACATGAACAAATCTATACATATATATTCATTAGTTTTATTTGCTGTTGACATCTGGCTTATTACAAATAGAACAAAACCAATCATAATAAAACATAATTTTCAACACTGGAACTAGTCCTGATCAACTGCTATATTGCATCAATATTGACTGTGAAAACTGTTCAAGCAAGAGCCAGAGAAAGTATGCATGTATACTAAGGAACCATATGGACTAGAATTCCTCACCATTGCTCTTGAGCTAAATAATAAATATACCAAGGAATTCTGATGAACTTTCCAGTGTTCATGTCATTTCCATATTGTTGTGTATCTTGCATAATCCAAATATTACACACTAAAGATAACAAAATGTTAGAAACCAAAAAGTTAACTGTTATGTTGGTTTTTTTTTAAACTTTGTTTGCATACTTCCTCCCCATAGCTTACAATAAGGTTAATGGTTGTGATCACATTGTCTAGGTCTTTTTTTTTTTTTTTTTTTTTTTTTTGTATGTATTTGCATTCATTGTATATACTGGTAACAATAACAATAGAGTTTTTAAAAAAAATAGACCTGTTTTATTTCTTTTAGTTTGGCATTAGACTTTATAACATTGAGTCTTCTTGTACACTTGTTTTTCACACCAAATGTCTATAACAAGTGTTATAGTGACTTGAATGGCTTCATTCTGAAGTGTTGCTATTTCTACATCTAAGAAGACCAGCTAAAGGTCAACTCATTTGTCATAATACTGCAGAAGGAATTGTTGCTCAAAAGCACACACACACTTTCATATGGCATGGTTTCTTGTTTTTTATGTACATGCAGATGTTAATTATGATCTTACCCTCAAGATTGGTCCTAAACTCATTGCTGTTGCCATTAACTATTTTATGTTTGTTTTAATGAAATACTATGTTGTTGTTGATTGGTCGATTGTACATAGATCATTTGTAGAAATCGCCTTCATGAGAAAAATGTGTGTGTGTTTGTATTAGTTGTTATATTGTGTTTTTAAGCATAAACATTTCAGTAAAACAAAGGAATGACTACAAAGTAAGCTAGTCAGTGCTTCCAATATGTGTCATGCAGTTTAGGTTTAAAGATCAATCCAATACTAGCACATGTGATGACAGTGTTGCTGTCCAAATAAAATAGTGTGAAAAGGAAATTCTACAACCAAACAGATATAAAACACATTTCTTAAGTAAAAGTAGATAAGTCAACAATAATTTTATTGTAAATTGGAGTTAGATTTAGAGCTTATACAGTGATGAAAGAGGATGCAGTGCAATGTCAATGTTGGGACAGTGTGATAATGTGATTGTCCAAAGTTGTCCAGGTCACTAGTTCTGATATTTCATGTAATGGTATGTTATATTATATGGTTCTTTAATTCAGTGATGTTTATTCATGCACATTGTAAAAAAAAAAAAGGATGATTAATTAAATAAAATTCACTAAAACTTTAATTTTTACTATTTCTTTATGAATGTTTTATTACACAAGTTTTAGACAACGTGTGAAGGAAAGGTACTTTCGCTTTAATAAAAGTAGGCCTAATTCAGTCATTGCTTCCCCATTAGAGATTTTCATCAAAGAATGATGTGTGAATACATTTTATTTAAAAGTGTGGGCGAAGTGCTTTCACGCCACAGTACAACCATGGCTCTCATAAACCAATGAGTGACCTAGACAAAAAAGAACTCAACACATCTGGTGTTAGTGTGAAACTATGATGAGATATAAAACAGACTTGCCATGATGTGCACCTCAAGACTTGTTTACCCAAATTTCTTAACAAACTAGAAATAAAAGGAATCCATTGTTATGAAATCTATATATATAGTTATAGTTCTAAATTATAATTTGATGTAATGCACAAATTGTAAGACAAATTTCCGTACGGCCAATAAAAGATTATTATTATTCTCTTCTTCGCTCAAGAGTTTGGACGAGAAGAAGTAAAGAAAAGATCACTCTTTTATTTCTGCGGATAGTTATCCCACGAACTTTACGAGCCTTGCATGTAGCGAAGTCATGCAGTGTATCATGAAAATTGTATTTCCTACATAGATCACGCTCAATAGCAATTAACAAATGTCTTAATCTGTCTGCGAGATTTATTGAACTAAAGTAATTCTTCATTAGTTTGACGCTCGAGAAGCTTCTTTCACCAGATTACACAATTACGACTAATGCATAATGACGTTTTTGTTTATCCCCCGTAGGATTGGCGTTTTCCATATTGAATGACACCCCAAAATGACAATTTTTGTCTATATATTTCATGAGATTTGTATGAGTTTTCAAAAGATTTGAAATAATTTCCGAAGATTTCCATGACTTTTTCATATATTTTGCAATTTAAGATTTCTAGGAGTTTCTGGTAAATCAGGCGGCCGCGAGAAATCTGATATAAGTTATAAAATGGTTTAATTTAATAATTACACATAATTTACATAATAATAATTTACAGATAGAATTAGAGCGGGTCCTATGCGGTCGGATAGGTTGCTGTGGCCCAGGGCCGGACCTGCAAAGTAGCGGCGTATGCTACGCCGCCGGTCGACTAGTAGTTAATATTGCTACAAGTTTGTCTTTTCTTTTTTGCATACACCAGATTGGCATTGTTGCACATCTTTTTAACCTTTCAAAATCAGTACCAGTATATAGCCAAATTTAAATCCATTTCTTGTTTTACTATGACAAATTATAACGCTCAAACTAGAGTTTCCCCAATGTGACAAAATAGCGAGTAAATCTTATCCAAAGATACCTGTATACATCAACTTTCAAATGTATAGTAAAATTGTTAGAGCTTTTTTCGAGAACAGTGTCCACGCACCCAGGATTTTGAGCCCATGAATTCGCAAGCTGAATAGAAGGGAAAAAATTAGTTCAAACAGCAACGCATTTTTGCCTCACATAATTGATGTTAGATGCCCGAACACTATTTCAAACAAAAGTTTGGGGGAAAAAAAACAGCAAGAAATCAGAAAACGCTAATGGGTTTGGATTGGACATACATTGGGAAAAACAGAAAGCATTCCAAAACCGGGCCAAGACAATGGAAGAGAAAGGCCGGAAGACCAAAGCAAACATGGAGAAGATCTGTAGACCAAGAGACAAAGACGACAGGACGCACATGAACCCAGCTGAGGGGAATGGCCCTGAACACAGACATGGAGCAAATACCAGGAAAGCGCAAAAGGGACATTCTTGTATAACTTGGCGCCACACTTTCACGGAGTACTCTCAGCAGTGGACAGTTCTTTGTGGATACAGCTTGCCGCCCAATGCGCCGAACGGCGCGGAAATTAAGTAAGAACGAAGTAAGTAGCAATGCGTTAATTAGAATCAAAACGCAAAATAACAGAAAAAGAAGCAGAAAATAAGTAAGACAAAAATTAACTATTGCTGGAAGTCTCTGCAAAACAATGTATTAAATGTTTTTTCACAAGCACTAGAGATTAACCAACCTTTTAATGACAGCCTTTATGAATGTACAGACTCAACATCATAAGAAACACTAATGCCAAGACGACTGTAGGACCCCAGGCTCGAAAGCCAAGCGTTTAACCTTTCAGCCACCGCGCCCCCATGAGATATGTGAGATGGGAAGTTAAATAAAGTGAGGATGAAGAGTTGTATTTTTAAATTGAGGTCCATATGCCTGAGAAAATGGCTAGGAGTGAAACTAAATCATAATCAATATGTTTGTTGATGGAGGATTTTCATATGCACAGAAAGCATTGGCGTTCGTATACGATATCGCACTGATGCAAGTTTATTCAACGCTCTAAGACTCAAGACAAGAACCAAGGTAAACTACGACTGCATCAGAGAGACCTGCTATTCGCAGATGATTGTGTCCTAAATGCCTTAAACGAAGAAGATCTTCAAAAGAGCCTATCCCTCTTCGCCAACGCCAATTTTGGCCTTACCATAAATGTAAAAAAGACAGAAGTGCTGCACCCAACCTTCTCCAAATAAATCTGTCACAGATTCTCATAGATGGCCAGCAAACGTCAAAAAGTTTGTCTATCTGGGAAGCACTATATCAGCTAACGCCAACCTAGATGATGAAGTAGACTTCCGTATTGCGCGTGCCAGTGGCTGCTTTTGGAAGACTTCAATGACAAGTGTGACAACGGAGAGGACTCAGGATATCCACAAAACTGAAAGTCTATAGTGCTGTAGTTCTCCCCTCACTCCATATGCATCAAAGTCCTGGAGTTTATTCCCGCCACATCAAAAATTTAAACTCCATCCACCTACGCTGTCTAAGGTGCGTTAGTCCAACTACATACCAGACACAGAAATCTTAGAGCTGTCCAACATCAGAACACTATCAATGCGACAGTGAAAAGGTCCCAAATTCGATGGGCGGCACATGTAGTCCGCATGCCGGACAATCGCCTTCCCAAACGACTTCTGTACGGGGAGTTGTGTGCAGGAAAGCGTTCCCAGGGTGGTCAATACAAGCGCTATAAAGACACTCTCAAGAGCTCCTTCAAGAAATGCGATATCGACTTTCACTGCTGGAAAGCATTAGCTCTTGATCACTTCTAATGACGTGAAGTTATGAGTCTAGGAATCCCGTGATTTGAAGCAAGAAGAGTTGCCAGGGTGAAAGAACGCCGAACCAACAAAAAGCTGAGAAAAGATGCAGGTCTATCTGCAATTGACCAAATCTACCCATGCTTTTAAAAGCGAGGATTGGATTTTACAGTAATTTTCGAGTCCTTAGGAAATGAGAAATGTGATCATCTTCGATCACGAAAGAGGAGCTATAGATATTCATCCATCCATCCATCCCAGTGGCACTATGGAGGGCTCTGGCCTGCTTCAACACATCCTTCCATTCAGATCTCTCCTGGGCCTTTCGTCTCCACGCCCTAACCCCAAGCTGTTGCAGATCTGCTTCCACGTCATCAATCCATCGCATTCGGGGTCTGCCTTCGGGTCGCATGCCTTTTGGTTTTGCCTGTATGCGATTTTCGCTCATCTTTTATCTGACATTCTTTCAAGGTGACCTGCCCAACGTAGTCTGTTCTTTTTTATTTCCGTCACTATTGGTGGGTCTTCATACAATTGATATATCTCATGGTTAGTGCGTGTCCTCCACCCTGTTTCATCCTGTATGGCACCATAGATTTTCCTAAGAATTTTTCGTTCCAAAGTATTAAGTCAATTTTCAGATGTCTTAGTCAGTATCCCAGTCTCACTTGCATACATTGCTGCTGGTCTTATTATGGTTTTGTATATTATTTTCTTGGTTTTCCTTGAAATTGTTTTGCTCTTAAGTAAATGATGGGTGTTATCAAATGCTTTGTTGCCTTCCTTTATTTCTGTTAGTAGGTCATTTTTTAAATCAATTGTACTTCGTGGTCTTTGATTTTGATATATTGTCCCTTTGTTTGGTTTTCTCTTGTCATTGCGATGTACTTGGTTTCACTGTCATTGACCTTACATCTTGCTGGTCGAGATGCTTCTTCTAGTTGTG